TAACACCCAAATTCGATATTGGTGGGGACTTATGAGTAAACTTGGTATATAATTATGAAAACCAACCACTATTAATAACTTAAGTTTAAACTTTTGAAGGCCTATGAACTTCACCTCGAAGAGTTGTTAGGTTAGTGACAAATTTCGACCTAAGTCGTTATAGGAGGGGAGGGAAGATTTTTTGATTAATCAAATTGTAATGTTTTTTAAATATTGCAATTTGATTTGTCAAAAAATTTTCCCTTCTTCTCAACCTAAACATATTATTAATTAAACTTTTGAAATGGAAATAAGAAATACTAATATCTTAAAAAGAAGAATTTATGACTTTTTTTTTTTCTTCTTCTTCTTCTTTTTGAGAAAAAATGATAAAATGATATAAGTACAAAAAAAGAGAGTTCATTAGGATTGTTTTAGAAAATGAACTCCTAGTACATAAATAAGATAAAATGCAACCACAAGAAATGAACATTTATTAAAAATAACAAAAGCTAAAAAATGTGATATTCCAATTTTAAGAAGTTGGTTAGTACACATATGGCTATCACTATTAACATGTTGCAACGTTGAGTTAGAACAAAATTTATCATGAGTTCTCTATAATTCAAAACATTAGAGATATTAGCAAACAATAATTGAATGGTATAAAAAGAGCCAAACCCAATGTTAATTTTAGAAAATCCCTTAATAACAATAAAGTTAGAGGTTATACTCTATGTTTTAAAGTTTAACATTTACTTTATTAGTAATGCCTATATTTCTGATAAACCCTATAATCTAATTGTCATTATGTTTTTTGAAGATCCCTCCTTTGTCAATAGGTTTGAGAAAGGTAGCCTCTTAGTATTACTGTTCAATAAAATATAGAGAACGTTATGCCAATAAAATATACCAAGTTATCTATTAGATAAATTAAATTGAATAAAAAAATTGACTAAAATTTAAAAGTTTTATTAATAATAATAGAAAGTCATTTCGAATTTTAAAATAAGAATTCTTATAAAACTTGTCATTTTTTTTTTCGTACTAAATTTCCCAAATAATGAATGAAAACCAAGCAATCGAAGGAATTTTGACTTAAGAGAATCATTCATGCATTTTCCTCTTGTTTGGTTTAAGGGAAACCAAATCTCCTTCACTTATTCAGTTAGACTAAAATGTAAAATAATAATAATAATAATAATTTTTTTATTAGCAAAGTAAATATAGTTTATTTAATGGAGTACAAGGGGTACTCCTACCACTCTACAAAAAAAGTAAAACAATTACTACGTGCAAATAATTCAAAAAGACACTGTAGGTCAAAAAAATATAAACCACCCAAATAACAAATACACCTAGTAAACAACACATTGCTACATAGGAAGTTGTTTTTAAGTGCTTGAAAGAAAATGCTTCTGTTGCTGATTAAACAACTTCAAAGATTTCTTGTATTACTTCAGCTCCCTTTCACACTCCACTGGATTACTTTACCACTGAGCCAATGCAAAAGCACACCCAGCCACCTTATTTGTAATCCAAAAATAAGACTTAACTTGAATCAACTCCAACAATTGTTCGCTAAACATTTCTCTAATACCACAAATACTAAGAGACAACCAAAAAAATGCAAGCACCCATCTCCTTACCCACCAAACTACCTAAACACTAGATAAAAATGTCTGCCACACCCATCACTGTAGCCGGCATCACCACCTCCATACCCCACCACTAAATCACCTTAACCCATACTAACCAAGCTTCCATACATGTGCAAAACAGATGATTAACATCCTCCACACCTTCTTTACATAGACCGCACATCATGCCATCCCCTTGTAAGGCCACCCCTCTTTTTTGTAAATTCCATCTTGTTGGAAGTCTATCTAAGCACAACTTCCACCCAAAAAAACCCACTTTAAAAGGCACCAACCTACACTGAATCAATTTACACAACTAGCCCTCTAGCAAGCATTCAACAGGAACTAAAAAGTCATATGCTTTCTTCACTATATATCTACCTTTAACATCATACCTTCACTGCCAAGAGTCTACCACATATTTCCTAAGCTGTACATTGCCCAACAGCGCGCACAATCTCTTTTGCTCATCCTGTTCACAAGCCATCCTTGCTCTTTGCCACCCTATTTTCTATCTCCAACTTTCCCCTTCCCATTTCCCATTCTCCTGAACCATACCATCCTTATTTATGGCTAACTGAAAAAGCCGTGGAAATAAATCTCATAAAGAATTATTCCCCATCCAAGGTTGTCTCTAAAAAAACCCACCCTACTTCCATCCCCTACCTTCCACAGAAAGCCCCGCACCAACATATCCTTTAACCTATTTGATTTCCCACCTATACTAATAATGTCACCC